TCCTCCACGCCCTTTTGCTGGGTAAATTAGCTGAAACCATAGTAAAGAATAAAATTGTCAGACACATAGAAGAACACAAAATGATGGGCAAAAGTCACCATGGTTTCAGTAAAGGGAAATTGCGTGTTACTAATCTATTAGAGTTCTTTGAAGGTATCAACAAACATGTGGACAAGGGGGATCCAGTGGATGTAATGTACTTAGATTTCCAGAAAGCCTTTGACAAGGTCCCTCACCAAAGGCTCTTACATAAATTAAGTTGTCATGGGATAAGAGGGAAGATCCTTTCATGGATTGAGAACTGGTTAAAAGACAGGGAACAAAGGGTAGGAATAAATGGTAAATTTTCAGAATGGAGGGGGCTAACTAGTGGTGTTCCCCAAGGGTCAGTCCTAGGACCAATCCTATTCAACTTATTCATAAATGATCTGGAGAAAGGGGTAAACAGTGAGGTGGCAAAGTTTGCAGACGATACTAAACTGCTCAAGATAGTTAAGACCACAGCAGACTGTGCAGAACTTCAAAAAGATCTCTCAAAACGAAGTGATTGGGCAACAAAATGGCAAATGAAATGTAATGTGGATAAATGTAAAGTAATGCATTCTATACATACAATATGATGGAGGCTAATTTAGCTACAACTAATCAGGAAAGAGATCTTGGAGTCAGCGTGGATAGTTCTCTGAAGACGTCCACACAGTGTGCAGTGGCAGTCAAAACAAACAGGATGTTAGGAATCATTAAAAAAGGGATAGAGAATAAAACAGAGAATATCATATTGCCCTTATATAAATCCATGGTACGCCCACATCTTGAATATTGCGTACAGATGTGGTCGTCTCATGTCAAAAAAGATATACTGGCATTAGAAAAGGTTCAGAGAAGGGTAACTAAAATGATTAGGGATTTGGAACGGGTCCCATATGAGGAGAGATTAATGAGACTAGGACTCTTCAGCTTGGAAAAGAGGAGACTAAGGGGAGATATGATAGAGATATATAAAATCATGAGTGGGGTGGAGAAAGTGAATAAGGAAAAATTATTTACTTGTTCCCATAATATAAGAACTAGGGGCCACCAAATCAAATTAATAGGCAGCAGGTTTAAAACAAATAAAAGGAAGTTGTTCTTCACACAGAGCACAGTCAACCATGGAACTCCTTGCCTGAGGAGGTTGTGAAGGCTAGGACTATAATAGGGTTTAAAAGAGAACTAGATAAATTCATTGAGGTTAAGTCCATTTATGGCTGTTAGCCAGGATGGGTAAGGAATGGTGTCCCTAGCCTCTGTTTGTCAGAGGGTGGAGATGGATGGCAGGAGAGAGATCACTTGATCATTACCTGTTAGGTTCACTCCCTCTGGGGCACCTGGCATTGGCCACTGTAGGCAGACCAGATACTGGGCTGGATGGACCTTTGGTCTGACCCAGTACAGCCATTCTTATGTTCTGTGTCCACTGTTTCAGAGGCATTCATTATCTCATTAAACATATCACATGTTCTCTTTTGCCTCCATCTTGTCTGGGAGAGCCTCTCCGCCAGTGTGGAGGAAGAGCTGAAGGCTACACTTTCAGCTATAATACATGCAAAGCACAAAGGAACCATTGTCAGGGCAGACCCAGGCTGTAGTGCAGAATTGCTATATAAAAATCACTCCCCTGAATCCATGCCAGTATAAAGTGGAACATTTTCATTTCTACAAGGTATTTACTGAACCGGTTTGCTGTTCCACCTATGCTGAGTATGGCACAGGGGCAGGGGCGCTGGACCATCTGCAGTGGGAGGGGGGTCACCCGCAGTGGAACCGGAGGTGGCTAGGAGGCCATGCCCACCTCCCCTTTGTTACATGGATGTTGTCTGAATGTTGGGGACCAGCCTTCCCCGTCCCAAACTGCAAGTCTTAGCAGAAGTGGCTCAGATGTGTATGTATGCTTGTGATGGCGTGTGACCAGTACAACATTTTCCTTCCCCCACCCCTCCCCTCAACCCTCTGTGCTGCTGCTGCTCTGCAGTGCCTGAGGTTTGCCGTTTCTGAGGTCGCTGCTGACCCCTGCCACCCAAACTACAGCCATGTTTTGTGAAGCCTGGAGGACGGGGCAGAAAATCACAAGGAGGGATTGTAGCACCTCCCAAAATATGTCGTCTTTGCTCTGTCTTGGTCACTTATCTGGCAGAGGCACTCCGCCAGTGTGTAGGAGGCTTCCCCTGAAGGTCATATCTGCAGAAGAACAAGAATTACCTAAATGCATGATTGTTAGTTCACACACAACATCGAATCATTACAGTAAAATACACATCTTGTAACATACCAAGCACACAGAAACACAGTCTTGTACATTTCTATCCCCTCACCCACTTCCGCACTACACAAAGCAAAGGAAAGTTGGCCATCATAACCATGCAGCATCAACTCAAAAAATCACTTACCGGGGTCTCTTCTCCTGCGTCTTGCTCATTAGAGTGGGACTCCTGGGACTGGCTAGACACCTCCAGAATGACTCGCCATCCCACATGACGACCCAGCCGTGGGCTACACATCATCTGCTAACTCCACCTCCTCATCCATGACTTTGTCATCAGCGTTAGGTCCACTTGATGCTGCGTTCAGCCACGCCAAAGTATCCACAGGGCTCTTGGCGGTGCAGGAGGGGTTGCAGCCAAGGATAGTGTCCAGCTCCTTATAGAACTGGCAGGTCTATGGTGCAGCACCAGAGCAACAGTTTGCTTCCCTTGCCTTCTGGTACGCCTGCCTCTGCTCCTTTATCTTCACTCTGCATGGCACTGTGTCCCAATTATTAGCTCTTCTCACAGAAGCCAAGAGAAATGTGCCCGTAGGTATCAAAGTTCCTATGGCTGGAGCACAGCTGGGTCTGGACAGCCTCCTCTCCCCATATACTGAGCAGATCCAACAGCTCCACATTGGTCCAAGCGGGAGAGTGTTTGCCATGTGGAGTTGCCATGGTCAGCTGGGAAGATGCGATGTGAGATCTCCATGCCAAGTGGCAAACAGGTCACTCCTAAATAAAGGGATGTGTTTGCCTTAATTTGCGTTTAAGCAGGAAACAGAGTCATCAAGCTGGAAGGGAAAACAAAGGAAGCTCAAAGAGGTGGGGGGAAAAAACAACAGGGAATATCCTTCCACATGGATTCTGTCTCCTGGTTCTCAGCTACGAATGTTTTTCAAGAGGGGGACCAAAACTATAAAAAGGAATGACAAACACCCCCAGGCACCTTCCCTTCTCCCTGCCCACCTGATTCCCTGCACCTGAGACGGTAAAAAGAAAGAGTGGCTGTATGCTGAGGGAGGGTTTCTGACCTGAGAGTTTTGTTAGTAATCTGCTAAAACATGTGGTGAGAAAGTTTGCTCTGCAACTAAGATAGTTTTTAAAGTAAATGTTAGTAAGCATTTTATCTGTATTTTTCTTGTAACCTGTCTGACTTTATGCCTTGAAATGTTTGCAACAACATTGTATGCAAAGTTATGAATTCCGCCTGTATGATGATAATAGTAGATGTTCAAACCCACACAGCCATGACTAGGCAAAAGCTGTTAACCCAGTCTAACCTAAACAACGGACTGTGTGCTTACCTCAGCTGGCATATAAGGAACAGGGTC